AACTAAACTTTGTTGTTTTTTGTGATTAAGCAACAAAAACTCTTATCTAGAATGATATTTTTAGTTTTTTCTTTCAACTTATGCATGGTAAAAATTTTTGTTTTCGAGTAAGAAGATCAAAAATGTCAAACATTTCAAATGACTACGAACAAATACGTTTATCAATAAAAAATACCTAAAATATTTTGAATATTAATTATTAAATTACATATGTCTAAAAAATTCTAATATAATTTTTTGGTTAACCGTTTTAATTTAAGGATATATAACGTTATATTTACCACACATAAAAAATCGAAATAATCATATAATTTTTTTTATAAACATTTTAAGTTCAAATTTTTTTTTTGCGAAATTCATCAATATTATAAAAGCTCCCGTGATGGTAACCTTACGGAGCGGCCATGATATATYATGTCCTATCTTGTTCCGTACTTTTCATACTAGGTGTTCATAAAAAACCTCCTGGTTTTTTTTTTTCATTTAAAACGTGTTTCCATCAAAAACTTTATCTGTTCGTAACTTAATTTTAATTAATCTACTAATTAAAAAGAATTGTTATCAATAATTCACTACGGTAGCTGTACTAAATGGTATAATTGAGCCATGAATCACGATTAACACAATTAACGAAACCGTAATCAACCGTTCACAAAAATCTAAGTTTCTGCTATAGTTATTTTCAAAGAGTATGTACTGACCAGAGTGCGTAATATCTTCCATTTAATATTCACTCAGTCAATCAGACGCCAACTATATCTGGATCACTTCCACAAGATCTAAGGACATTAATTCACCTGACTTTACCTCAATCTCAACAATTAATACAAATAATAACAAAACTAAAAAAAAAATGTTCACAAAATAATTGTTCAATATTCTTGAGCCCAGTTAAGAAGACTGTTGAAACTTTGAAATGGACAAAGAACCAATATCCAACGAACTTCTCTCTACCCAAATCAAACCTCCACCACCTATCTTCATTTGCGTTATAAATAACTAGGTATACAAATCTTTCTGTGACAATAGGTATTAAGGAGCTAACAAAACGAGAACCATTCTTAAACAAAAGTTAAACAAACGACATCACACTATCTACTATTTGTAGGATTATAATAGCATCTAGCTGTTATTAAATTTATCCTATCCATTTTAAAAATGGCCATACAATAACAACTGACAAGATATTCACAAGATAGATCATTCAAAGACTCAAATTAATAATCAGCAATCTCCATCTTCCTACTTTAACAATGGAAATTATTTTAAACATTTTTCAACTCTTTGCTATATTTATGTTACTGATGCCCGCCGGCGTAATACTAAAATTATACTATAAAAGTATATTATTTTTACTATACAAAATTTAATTTTCAAAATATTTAGAATTTATTTTTAAGTTATTTATACTATGTTGAACGTACTCACACGAACCTCTTCTCAACGATACATCGTTGTTGATTTATAAGTTAATAATATATTAATATTATTGTATTATTCTAATTATTATTGTTATATAGTATTATAAGCGATTTTTTTGCAAAAATAAATTACAAATAGCAATATAAAATGTATATTTTTATATTTAATCATATATTTAATATATAGACAAATAAATATCCTTCGAAATAAAGTATGCTGACAGACCATCTCCTATCAGAATAATTGCTTTTTATATACTTATAGTTACAAATGTCATCAACTTTTGGAGCAATAATAGAAGGCTTAAATCTTCAACTTTGAGGGTGGTTTTTGCTAGCAAATTGAATATAATTATTTATAATTTTGGATCTTGGAGTTCAAAAGTAAAAAAAATCAGGTACTTGTATACTTCGATTAATTATTGAAAACAATTATATACATTTTAAATTTACGAGGTCGGTCAAGAAGTTTTAAAAATTGAAAATAAAACACACAATTCGTCAAAATTGTGAATCATTTTGTAGTTAAATATTTATAAAAAAGTTAGCATGTAAACAATATTCCACAGATATAGATTAGTTAAAGTGTATAATGGTATATAAATAGGACATTTTGATGTACCTAAAGACATTCACAGACAACAGACCGTTATACAGAGTAATGTGTAGGTACGTCCCCGATGTAGACACGCAGTCCAGGTTTGTGTTTAATTTACACTTTGATTATAATACAGTATTTACATAATCATAAAGTCCTGTTGTTTATCTACATTAAATACCTAAATCCTAAGTACCTATACTCAAGCTTCAATTTCAACATTATGGTTTGAAAATGTGATACAATGTTCCATATTATATGTTTTGCTCACTATAGAAAATGTGGTTTATAAAATTATTATTATAAAATAAATTGACCATATTTAGCAAGTATTTTTCATGGACGTTTAAAATTTAAATTTTTATGAGCGGTAAAATCATGATTTTTTTTAATGTGTTTCAGAGTGATGTAATTATAGGGAGTACTAGGGAAGGATTAGCTCCTTTAACAATGATTTAGTCCCCCTAAAAAAATATATATCTTATCGTTTTTAAATATAGGCTCCCTATAGAATAATTTAAGTTAATAGTTTTGTTGAGATTCGACAATTTAAACTTTCGATAATTGGAAACTCGACAATTCGAAGTACATGCTCAGTATCTTGAAAATTTCGGAATTATTTGAAAAAACAATGCATTTGATTTTACTAGGAAATTTGTAATTTGAAGTAAAATATTGAGCAAACTAGTCACCAGCATATGACATTTCAAAATGTCTTCCACTCATCATTAGATTGTTTCGTAACAACTAACATGTGCATTCGTAAAAACAATCTTTTTTTCCCCTAACATCTGTGATTTATTACATAAAGTTATAAATATTATTATATAAGTATCAAAAAAAGTTATTTTTCCAAATATTTAAATCCAGGTATTCTATATTAACGTTTCATATTGTTTTTATATCGTACAATTGAATTTATATTTATTTCACTACAAGTAAGGTACCTATTACATTATATTATTATTACACATTAATACAGTAGATACATACAAACTTAATTGCATGTATTGAGGGTTGACTGAATGAAATTGAACTATTGTATAATTTTCGAAAAAATAAACCAGAAATTATTTTATTACAATTTATTAGCTTTTAGCTTTATTTATTACGCGTATCTTTTTATAATCTAAATAAACRGTTAATACCTAAATCAAAAACAGTCTACCCAGTGTTAATAAATTCACTGTGTAGATTCAATAAATTCATGTTAAAATGTATCAGCCATATAATATATTTTGAATACGAGCAGCAAAAAAAAAAAATACAATTATGAAACCAATAAATAATAAATAATCCCAATTATGTCTTCCACATAAAAAAATGATATACATATATATAATATATTTATGTATAAATGATGAAATGAATGGTACCTAAATATCATATTTGGACTAATTTGTACTAATTTGTGATAATTTGAAATATATGGTTATGTTGATGAATGGTGTTAAAACATTCAATGTCTCTGACACAGTATAACCAAAAAAATACATAGATTTGTTATTTCAACATTAATTAGTAAAAGCATAATATTGATATTAGATATGATTTATCACTATGATAAATAATACCTCGACATTGGCCCTGTAAAATCTAAAGCTCCGCCATTAGCCATTCCAAAATTGAAATAAAGTTTATAAATATAATATATTATGTTGTTACTGTGCAATTTAATATTGTTATTAGGTTATAATAAAGTGTTATTCATAGTTATAATAATATGTTTATTTCATAACTTATATAATTTTAAGCCAATATCAGATATAAATATTAATTMATTCATTAATTATTATTTATTAATAATTCATCAATAAGGCCAATGAGAACATAAAATAAATTAATTTTCTGGATTCACAAATTAAAAAATATATTTCATTAAATAAAGGATGGTAAAGAAATTTAGTCACCGAAATTCCAAAACTATAAAGTAAACCACAGATATATGTATACCTATGTAGTATTGTAGTAATATATAAGTGTATAAACCTACTGTTAGAATATTTATATTTAAAAATAAATAAAATTTAACATATTATAGTATAAAAAATCTAAAAACCATAATACTTGGGACTCAAAATTATTTCTAGCTTAAAAGTCTTGACATAATAATATGATTAAACCATGGTTTATGATAATATCATAAAGAAATATTATAATGTAGCTATAACATTATCAGGGGTTTATAACAATATACAGTTTTTTAGAAAATAATAAATATACCTTTAATTGATACGATGCACACAAGCTTTGTTCACTTCAAAGTGAATTGATATGATCCACATTGATTCACTGACTTCTGAGATGAATCAATTATACGTCTCGCTGTTTCAGACACCTAATCATTTAGCAAATGTCTTAAGGAAGGACAGAGGTGGTTCTTAAATTATTGTCGTGTAAAAGTTTATCGTTTATTCTTTATTCATTTTAATTAAGACCATTTTATTAYTACTGCTGTCAATACCCGTAGACCGTAGTCGATATAGACTTAAGRCATAATAATGATCAAGAAACTTTTCCTACGAATCTAGAAAACTTTATAAACATTTTCAAATAAATTAAGTACATACCAAAGAGCATACAGATTAAGCGCTCAAAAATAATATTTCAATTATAACRGTTATTTAAAGGTAATAAGCTAATAACTAATAATAATTGCACGAATCGTGTTATTAATATTTAACCGAACTAAACAAAGAAATCGATCGACCCTATATATAGTGCAAAAGACTTGTATATGTGAATTTGTGCAAAGGATGACGAATGAATGATAATTAAATTAAAGACCTCGTATAATACTCGTAATATAATAACCTTAATATGTAGTCGTTAGTATTGTATAATGTATATTATATTATGCTTTGAGATGTGAAAGGTGAGACTTAAATCAAAAATCTCTAAAACTACATAAAGTGCATACCGCGAGGTATTATTATTATTATTCTCTCTTGAATAAAGTGTAGGTGTATTTGGGGTTCCAGAGAGCGAAAAACAATGCCGGGCCAACAACAAGAACGCATCCGACTGTCTTCAATGGGCGGGGAGTCAACTTGCAGCAACAGTAGTGGYGGGGGCAGTGGWAGCGGCAGTAMAACAATGAAAATTCGCAGACGAGTGGTAATGATGGGCGCAGCTAGGGTGGGTAAGACGTCCATCATTAAGCAGTTCCTTTACGACCAGTTCCCTGACCGATACAAGGAGACCATCGAGGAATTACACAGAGGTGAGTGAATAGATTATTACCTATTTCATCAACGTTTTAGGAGTTTTTTACTTAAAAATCTCTGTTTATTYAAAGTAATAATATTAATATATTCTAACTTTTTGTCAAATAATTTTTTAAATAACATTTTTTTTCCCCTGTAAAAACCATAAATAATCTTAATTGCGCAAATCGTGAAAATGTTGGTAAGCTGTAAAATTACACTACATAAAATAGTTTTTTCTAAATTAATGTCTCGTTCTCGCGAATGTAAAGTTATTTATTTATACTTTAATTTATAAAAAAATAATAGGTAGGTATTCCATAGCAATGTGTTACTTCAAAGTCTTAGGTAAATGAGTTTTGAAAAGAATACTGATATCCGCTCACTATTCTATCCAATTTTTTTTTAAGCTCTTTGATTTTTAATTTACTATTTTTTTTTTTTCATAAGCTCCTACACCATCATACTTGTAATTTGTTATTATTAATAAGAAATTATTATTTTTAAATAAATAACACACACAAAATGATTCATATAACTTATAATACCATCTACGCTCATATTTATAAGCAATAAAAGGAGTTATAGATAAAATAACAYTAAAAAAGTTTTTTATAGGGACATATGAAATTTATAAGATTACCTTATGCAACATATCTACCTACGATGTGATAGAATACACAGCTGCATCAATTGTTTATTTGCCTTGTCGTAAAAATTAAATTATATAATAAACTTTCCGACGCATGTAGAAGCATCGTGTTTCAAGACACTAAAAGTTCTTTTTTTATTAGACGATTAAATGAGTTACATCAATTGAATATTGTGCCTATATCGTTTTTATTGTGCCTAGTGAGACTTTTTGGGACGTTATGTACTAATTGGTCGACATCTGACACATACACACACACACTTTATGTTTATTTAAAAAAATTWATCTTATTATCGATTATAAATAAAAATTCTTAACCTTATGAGTTCAGGTTTCTAAATGAAAACAGAACAATATTGCGTCTAAATATTCCAAAACATAAATCGTACTATCTATCCTTAACTGAACGGAAAATTGAAAACCAACATTTTGAAATTCCTTCTTTTACTTCATGTYAGGCGTATTCTWTCTGACCTTAATCGAAGATTTTAGATGGTGATGCAATAGCGCTATAATGCTATCTTTTCAAAAAATAAAAATAAAATATGTCATCAGAAATTTTTTCAAAACTTGAGATAAAATATTATACTGTATATGACTACCAGGAAAATCATAGTCAAATTAAATTATTCGTACATTGTTTTTAGAAAACTAAGTTGATTGAAGGTATGATCGTATTAATTACACACATACCTCTATGATTAACTTATAAATTGATAATATATCTCATTAAATGTCTTTATAAAACACAAATTCAGATGAAGTCAGTGAAGTTTGTTTTCTCTCTATGGTCCACGGAAAACATAGACAAAAGGTATTCACGCAAAATCAATTACTTTTATCTTTTTGAGTAATTTTAGAGTTCATAGAGTAAAACTATATTTATCAAAATTATAGAAATTAATATTTTTGAGGGTACCAATGACATAATATCGGTGTGTCTAAATATTATCAAAAAACTATAAAATATCCATTTAAATTTGCAAAATGTTTTAATGTAGAGTATAACTATTTTGTAATATGTGATTTTACTTGTCTATCACTTCAAAAATTATAAAAAAAAAAAAAAACAATTTTACGTGAATGCATTATATCTATGTTACACATAAGTCTGAAGGAGAAAACAAATATTGTGTTGGCATAATGGCATTTATATTAAAACTAGACGAAAAAATTCCGTTTTTGTTGTATATGCAAATTAATTTTCACGAGTATTGATACACAAAACTGTGTAGTCGGTTCATTCATTTCACCTAATATATATTTTACATAGTTTTTTACCGATTATCCCAAATATACGACGTATATACGATATAGGTAATGTGATAGACTTAAGTTCTTATTTTCTATATAACATTTTATTTAAGAGTTTTATGTTTATAAACATTATTCGTCAATATTACGTGTTTACAATACATTTGGGTGAATACAAAAAAAAAAAAAAAAATGATGTGAACAAAATTAAAGTGATAATTTTAAATTTAGTTTTGAAGTTATAGTGAAATCAAATTATCAGTATCAACTTGTTTTAAAATGTTTTAATTTACGTAATGCCAACCTGGCATCATGGCTCAAAGGGATTCGAAGTTATACCTATTTATAACATAAAGAAATGTGTGATAAAATTAACTGAGTTATTATAGAATTATTCATGGAATATGAAACTAACATAATTTACACCTAATCAAAACACAAAGCTCTTAAATTTTGTCACTTTATTACCTGGGTACATAATTAAATTTTTGATAACCATCCAGCCAAACTTTTCCACGTATGACACTATAACTACTTAGTATTTTAGTGAGACTTAGTTTTGTACTTCTCGTCGGTTTACCAACAATTATGTAAGTTTACTGGGTTCAATTTGCCAAACTCGCATATTATATGAAAGCTATGGATTCAAACCATACCAAACTGACTTAGCTTTTAATAATTAATWATTTACATTTTAATTATTTAAAATGATTAATGAAACGCGTGTATTATATTCTTATACTTAATGTCCTTAAAGATTAAATTGTGAATACACAATGCAACATTAAATTACAGGAAAYTGGCGCTACACTGTTCAAATCGGTATTATGCTTTATAATAATTAATAGATCTTAAATTCATAGCTCAACAATTCTTACCAAAACCCGATCCTATAATAGTTAAAAATTATAATTTTTAGAATGTAGATAATATAAAGCATACTGGTACAATCATATCCACTTGTGTGAGTGTGTGTGTGTATATTGGGGGAGGGGGTTGGTTGAAACCCATTTTTGTATGTTTATTGCAAGAATTTGTTGCTAAAACCCCCGGGTGATCACCCATCGGAGAACTATAGCAACACCGTCAGGTACGTACACTCAAGACGTTCCTGCACGTTCAACACCCCCCCCCTCACCAACCACGACCAAAAAAATCATGTTATTCATTTTTGATYTACTGCCTATACCTATGTAATATTTTATAATCTTATTTGTAATAATGCATAACTTTTAATATAGATACTTACAAAATTAATAATAAATATAAATGTTTTATACATTTATACTACATTTGCTAATTATTGATGTATCTATTTTATACATTTTTTTTCAAACCCCCCCCCTACCATTATTCAATCCTGCGCACGGGCCTGATTAAGAGTGGATTTTCGAAAACTAAATAATTTATCCCAGTATTCATAATTATTCGTAGAAAAAGACTTTATTTTATATTAAACTTTTTTTTTTTAATATTATCAGCTAACAGCTATAATATTACTTAGAAGGTGTACATAATAATGCGAAAAATACTTTTATTGACTTTTTTTATACTTTACATAATAATAATAACTGCTATTATGTCGTTTATAGGAGATTATGAATTACCCGATGGAGCACGATTGACATTAGAAATTTTGGACACATCAGGAGCTTATCAGTTTCCAGCCATGCGAGAGTTATCTATATCAACCGCTGATGCATTTCTTTTAGTATTTTGTGTAGACAGGGAAGACACATGGGATCAAGTTAAACACTTTAAGGAACAAGTACTTAATTTGAAAACAGTTTTTTTAAACAATAATACGATTCGGTAAATTTTTTATTAATTGTATCAATCATTTGTATTAGATAATTGAAAGGAGAGGACCAAAAATTCCAATAGTCATTGTAGGCAACAAATGTGAACTCACGGAACGATTTTTACCAGTGGAAGTTACCGAAGCGATATCTAAATACGATTGGGAATGTGGCTACATGGAATGTTCAGCAAAAGAAAATAGAAACATAGTACAGGTGTTTAAGGAACTCCTAGCTCAGGCAAAGGTAATTAATTAAATAAGTTCAGATTTACGGTTTTATTGTAAATTTTGAAGACAAATTTGTATTTGAAACCAATCAAATACAAATTACCAAACTTATTACTTTAAACTAGTATGCTGAACTACCCTACATCGCCTATATCCAGTTGGCAGTTCAAAATGTATGTCAATTAAATATAGGTAGCCCTAATGATAGTAAATGGTAGACTATCATATAAAGTCTATAATATATTAGTACATATTATACATAGATAGGTTCTAATAATTTTATGAAGCTTAATATGTTCGAGTCACGTAATAACACTAAAAAATGATAATCATTATTATAATTACACTTCCTTCTCATTTATGTCTGCCACGTTAAATATTTAGGCCAATGACCCAAATATCAGGGTTAAATAAAAATAAGTTGAACAAAAAGATAAAAAAAAAATACTTACAGTATTTCTGGTGCTCACCGACGAATTATATAACACATTATGAAAATGCACTTAAGAAAAGGAAATATTAAAAAAAACATCAAACATTTGTTTTCAATTTTTAAAAGACAAGTGAAAAGCAAAGCTTTTAAAATGTATTTGTCAGAAATTAGAARAGATGCTAAATTATAAAATGTAATTTGAAATACCATTAGTCACCAACATATTTCAATGGGTAAATAATTGTAAATTAAATTAAATATTTCGTAAATATTGTGTAACTATAGATATTTATAAAATATCTTCTTATATTTTAAATACCACACTTATGGTAAATAAAATATTTTAAAAAGTGGATGAATGATAAGTTGTTATAACAAACGAATATTTCCTAAAAATCCACAACATAAATACATAATGCATTTATTATGCATAATAATATCTGAATTATTTACATTGTCGATAACACACGCAAAATCAAATAATTATAAATTAAAGTTTAATAATTGTTATACTTTATTATTATAATTATCTGTCTTATGATAATATGAAGGCCTTGTACTTATGTAGGAAGTAATAACACAAAACAGCAACGAAATAGTGTTCATTTATTTCGTTTGATTATTATTATTATTAATTTTTAACTTAAGGCTAGACAGTCGCAAATCGTTTGATCCATAAAAACCAAGTGCTGTTTATTGGAAAGAAAAAAATTCAATATTTTAGTTCCTATGAAAATATTTTCCAATTACGACATTATAAAATAAATTCTAATGACTTAGTAGAAATACCTGTCATCATGCGCGCGTGTATTCCTTTAATCTTATATTATAGAACCAAATAATAGAGAACACGAATTGAAATAAAATATTGTCTAAAGTAAATTGGATAAATTATTCACGTTGCAGTTGCTTAAAATTAAACCATYGATGTTTTTTTAGGTTCAATATAATTTGAGTCCGGCCGTAAGACGCAGACGTATGTCTCTACCAAATTACGTAGAAAATCGTTCTGGATCCACCAAAGGACGTTACATGCTCAAAAGAAATTCCTGCACAGTGGCCTAATTCGAAAGACAATGATAACGATACATAATTGAAAAATAATAATAATCTTATTTCGATTATTTTAGACGCCGGTGTGAACAAAATAAWTACTTAAGTAAAATAATTTATTTTGTTCTTATAAATTATTTGCATAATATCAAATGGACACTCGAGATCCAAAAATGTTTTGAGACACAATATTATAATGTTGCGTAAAACCAGCTTTCAAAAGTTCTAGCTTTACAAATGAMTTTTATACAATGGTTATATGATAATAATTATAAATTTTTATAGTTAAATTGCTATTTTAAAATACAACATTAAATTTTTTGAAAATGCAGTTTGTCACATGCAAACAACTTAAAAACCATATTTTATTTTTATTTTTTCTTAAGACAAACAACGTTAAGAGTGTATAATACCTGTTTATTATATTTAATATCTAACTATTGAAATAAAATGAAATAATATTATAAAAGCAAGTTGGCACGATTCCAGTCCATTACCAAGATACAGTATTATTAAACGCATGCTCATACATTACATTTCATTGGGTAACGATACGAAATATATATGTATACATATATAAGCAGGAACATGTACAAACTCTGGAGATTTTTACAATGAATGTATACCGCACAATCTTTAATACATAACGCCGTAAAAAAGAGTGAATGATTAAAATATTGTAAGGGAATCAATATTAAGTATTAATCGATAATATACAATAAATTAATAGTAAYACTAATACTAATAATATCGTTAAGGCATACTATATTATAAAGATATACAAAAATGAAATAATAAATCTAATTACTTTTGAATATTTATATTGAAAACTGTGACGAGTTGTCAGAAGGTTTATTTGCGGTTCATTATTATTACTATCAATACTATCAGATATCGCTGATCGCTATATTCACAATGTTCGACCTATAGTTGTAATATGAGTAGGTACCTATTTAAAAATTCATTTTTTCGTTAGTATTATATATAAATCGTGTTCTATTTCTTTATTACAGATTCGACCTTAAATCATTTTTTTTTCTAATTATGATAGCCATACTATATAAATAATGTTATATTCATTTTTATTTGTTATTGAAACAAATAAGACGTCTATACAATATTTAACAAATCCACCAGAATAAATTAAAAAATCTTGAAATATGCGCCTATAATATGCACTTTAAATATGATGCTCTACAAAAAAAATTATTTGAAATAAAAATATTTAAAAAAATTGATAAATTATAAACATACAGATATTAAGAAAAAAAAAACTGATAAATTTAATAAAATAAAAATTAATTGCTCTCATCATCTACTTGTCGTACACTTGACGAATATACCTCGTGGATGTGTTACAGTGTTACACGATAAGTTTCTAGTGTTTCTACTGACAAATTATGGCAGACAACTAAAATTAATWTTCTACATGCCTAAGTATTTGTGTGTAATATATGAGGCTTTACCATTCGCCTTCGAAATAGTGAAACTGTTGTCTTTATATCAAATATTTTATATATTATATGTTTATATATTTATCCAAATTCAAAACTTTGTTGTATTAACAGATTGAAAAATATATTTTTGATTTTTCTTATAAACCTACCTACTCAAATATGCATATTTTATATGCGAGTATGACAAAATATGCAAAAATATGTGAAATAAAAATTTAATTATAGCTTCCTAATGTTATGTAACATATTTATACCTATTGTTCTACGACCGTCCTAGAAAAAATATGACAATTTTAGAAGTCCTTAATTCTCAGCATTAGTAATAAAACCTAAYTATGAAACGCCCATTATTAATGCTAATGCCTAATACTATTATTGTCTTATAATCTATCTATAAGTATAAACACGAACAATTTATGTTTTTTGGTTGATATCTATATTTAAACGAAAATGAGGCAATAGATGCATTTAGATAGAAGTACAAATCTAAAGATACCTTTAATATAGTTTACGCTACTAATATAAAAGTTTTAAAATCAGAAATTTTGTGTTTAGTAAAAAAAATTAAACATTTTTTAAAATACTATTGATTAATTTAAAAATAAAGCCAAATCAAATTATAAAGCTGAATTCAAAAGTGTCTTCGGTTTTACTTAATGATAGTTACTTAATTACTTTGGAAACAATCGATAACTAAATGTAATTTCTTTGTTTATTTGATTAGTTATTTCAGCAAGTTTTAATGAATAAATAAAATAAGTAGGTACCTACTCACATATTACTTAACTATGTTTTATGTGGCATATAGACGTTAGTCCTATTTATCATCAGTAATAAATAATAATTAATAATTATTTAACACATGCTTCATTCGATATTAAGTGCTAAAAAAATATTTAAAAATATTGGACAAAGATTATTATTTTTCAAATCATATTGAAAATCCTAATACATTTTTTTGTTTTAAAAAAAATTAATTTATTATTGTACACCTGCTTTATAGGATATGTAGATTGAATATCTATACTTCATAATCAGTGTATATGGTAAAATTGTAGAAATGAAATAATGTATAATATCTATAAGTCTCATTATATAATAATTTGTTTGATACCTATCATAATAATCATTTAATGTATATTAATGAAATGTATACTTTTTATACTCACAATTTTTAAATATATTTATAAATTTACCAACTTAACTTGTATGTGTCACACTATCACCATCAGACAATATTTTATACGAATAATTTAGAACAATATTGTTCTAAATGATTAAATCCCCATAAGAATTTTATATACATTCCTACATGGCTATAATACATACATTTTTTTTAATAGATATATATATACACTATTTAAAATAAGAGCATTATATTATTATATTTTAAGAGTATTTATAATAAGAAATAAGAGTATTTTGATATACGAGTAAACCGTGTATTGTCTTAACTTTTAAATGTTAACAATAACAGTGTCACACAATGCACCGTTACGATTTTGGTTATTTTTATGATTATTTATATTAATTTAATATTATATATAAAAAAAAAAAGAAATATGTATTTTATTTTTATGTTTAAGGAGTATAAYAATATGAACTCTAAATATTCGAAAGGACTATAACTAGTAGTCATGCAAAATGTTTACATGTAACCTAAACGTCCTAAACTATTAAATACCTATATCACAACAATGTTACGAATAAGTAATAAATAATAATAAATATATTAATCATAATTATAAATGTTGTTATAATTTAAAAATGTAAAAGCAAATAGTTATACTGGTAAAATGCAAAAGTGGCAAAAAACGACAAAATCTATTATATGGGTTGACCCACTTGAACAACAAGTTAACTGGATAAGCTTTCAAAATCATAAGCGCCATTGTGTTTCTCTGACTATATTCAATAGTGCAATGAGTTATAAATGTTTGGACTAGCGATATATTTTAGTAACTAATGACATTTTTTAATTTCCTCCGTGAATTTAAAAAAGACAAGTAGTTCCTAAAACTGTTTCTTTTTGCCTTTTACCAGTAAAAATAATCATAATAATATTATATAGCATARATATCTTTGCCTATAACTTATAAATATTAATGAAATTATATARCAATATATATCATTATTATTTATATTTAATSGACTTATGAATGAATAATATTTTATAAATCTATACGATGTTGAATACAAATTTTAGTTACTTTAATTATTTATTTTTTCAGTGTTTTATAAAGACCTACCTRTATAATTTTTATACTATTGGTTTATCAATTACGATCTACCTATATAATATAATATAATATAAATATTAAATACCTTAACTTGAACAAAAGTAAGTTTTAGTTTGCTAACGTAATATTATATAGTATAATAATATTATTTCTAAAATATTGTGTGAATGATTATTAATCAGTTAAAAAATAGTGTAACCATTTTATAAATTATATAATACAACATACATATTGTGAAAAATTATAATATATTAAATTACATGGATTTAATAGTGATATTTTTTTCTATTTACAAAATAATATAAAATATGTGGACCGTGGATATCGGATACGCATAATTATTATGTAGATCTACTATCTATAATCTACATAAAAATTATGATATATTTGATAATATTATAACATGAAATATTACAWATTAACAATAATATTATACTATTRGCCATGCAGAAATGTATCCTAAGGTTTTCACCCAGCGATAGTGGTAAGAGAATGCCATGTCGCCATCAGAAGGCGTTTGAGGCTGGTGGCCACCAAAGGTCGTAAGTCATACTGAAAAGAGAACCACAATTGTTTTGACAAAAATAAAATAATGAATAAACGGTAATGAACGAAGACGGACTGTCAGTATATAAGTACATTTGATAATATTATTGCGATTAAAGTACCTAATTTATTTTATTATTAGGCATTATAGACATTAAGATATTAAGACATTGAACATTTTATTATTTTTTAACTACAAAATAATTCGACAATTTCCGAGATTTTGATAAATTTTGTCAAAAATTTAACTTTAATCTTATATAATAATAATATGGCTTTTTAATATTTATCAACTGTTATTATAATAACTTATAGARAACGTAKATGTTGTATACAATTTTCAAGCTTTTTGACCCAACGTATAAGATTTTATTGACATTAAGTAATTGTCAATAGAACAAAAAAGGTGAACAGATGGTAATATCAGTCTGCCGTACAGTAGTTTTCGAGCATGTCGTTGTAATGGGTATGTTGTATTAGAATTCAATAATAAATTAGTGTACCATACGAAAAACAATTCTGACCGAAAATGTGTCAACCTAGTATACTTTCAGTATAAGTAATCAAATTTAATAGTTAAAAAAAAGTTATTAACAATCGAAAATATCTTATTATTATAAAAGGTTTAACCTTTTGGTGACATTTTTTTTTTTGATCAAGGTTAGGTTAGGTTAGAAAAATTTCTCGGGAATCGTTTTTTAATATTTCAAATTGTACCTAGGAAAATAGATAAATTTTCAAATTATTACTGAAAAATAATTTAGAAAATTAAAAAAATTGCCGTGGCTATAACAGCACAAAAATAGTTAGAATGTTTTGAAAATTCTACCATACTGATACCATTTTGTGAATGTTTAACCTATCTAGAAAAATATTATTTTACGATAATTTCTAATTATTATAGACTTAATATTACCTACAGAAAAGGACTGTGATAACTAGGTAGGTACCTYAATTATTTATGTTGAATAATTATTTAATAAGTATTTAAAAAAATTTAATTATTTGTTTCTATTCAACTTCCACGAGTTTAAATTGCAAAAGTTGATAAAAACAATACATGTTTCTTTTCACCCCACTCGGCAGGTAAATAGAAACAAAACACTTAAAAATATATATAAACTCAAGTATTAAGTATAAAATATAATCAATGGTACTATATTAAAGTRCTCACAGAGACCCATATTTTAAAGTATCACTCATTATTCTATATGTTAAATATTTAGAAGTTTAAAACTGTTTCTATTCACCCCATTTGACGGTATTACAATAAAATGGAAAAATGTACATCACATCAACACGTCACGTCGAGTAGTTATTTAACAAMWTTAACTATTTTAATAGTAAAAATTTAACAATTATTTAAAAAATTTAACAAGGTTGTCGATACGCACTTCAACAGATTTCATTTGAACCACATTAACTGTTGGTTAGGCACGTATCTAGATGGGTTGATACAAATAATCTATCCAGTAAAAGT